AATTAATTAAACCTAATTACCTCCCCCCCAAATGTTTTAAAATTCATTAGTTGATTGCACAACCCAAAGAATGAGCTCTAATGTAAACTGTGGACTTTAGTTAATAACAGTGTTGTCTATATTGTTTATATTGTCTCATAATGGTTTATATAGCCAATAATGTCTATATTGGCTCATAAATCACAACAAATACATCACACTAATGCAAGATGCTGAAGGGGTATGTTGGAACTCTATACTTTTTGGGTAATTTTTCTGTAAACCTAACATTGTTTTAAAAAATAAAGTTTATTAAAAATTAGTTGAAATTGATGAGAAATTAATTAAGATGCTTCCATTGGTGGGAGGCATATTTTGGGGCACAGACAGTTATTCCCTTTCTTGATCTGGGTTATGGTGACATGTGTGTGTTCAGTTTGCAAAAACTCCAGTTCTAGAATGTGCACCTTCCTATACCTATTATTACACTTCAACTGAAAAAATTAAAAATAAAATGAAAAGTCGTTTGGGGATTGTGTGACCCTTTCAAATGTCTTTTGGATTCAAATCACAGCTCTGTCCCTCCCCAAGTAAGCAGCCTGGAGTGAGTGAGGTCCCCATCCTCAGTTTCCATTTTCCAGTCTGCGAAATAGGTTGATAATAACAGGACCTACCTCCCAAAGTTGGTTGGAATACTTCCATAAGATGAGGCTTGGCACATAAGATGCAAAATTTCAGCCATCATTCCTCTTTCTATTACGATTTTGTAAAAGTGAAAGAAATTCAAAGCTGACACTCTCAGGATGCTTTGGGAGGCTGGCACGCCCACTTCTTTCTGTACCAGCCCCAAGTCTCATCCCAGACGCCAGGCAATGTCCTCAGCAGCCCCGCCCTGGCAGAGGTGGCCCTGCCTGCCCTGCTGGGACAGGCATTATCTAAAGATGGAAGTGCCAGCACCTGGCTCCGAGGCAGACCCACGCCCAGGAAGCACTGGTTTGTCAGGTTAGCCTGGCCGCCAATCAGGGACTTGTCATACTAGGTGTGTGGGCTCATGAGAAGGAATGCAGTAATGTGGACCCTGGCCCACCAGAAACCACATCTCTGCCTCTCCTTGAACTTCAGGTACTGTACATATTTCCCTCCATGACAGCCTCAGCCAAGCACCCCATACTGGCCCCACCTCCCTACATCCCAGCTCTGCTCTCCTCTGTCTCATCAAAACAGCCTGCCCCCATCCTGGTTCATGGTACCCCTTTGACTTCCTCTATGCCAAAGGGCTCCCCACCCAAGACTTATATCCTTCCAAAGTGCCAGGCCCCAGGAGGTCTGAGCCATGAGGGGCCTACCCCAAACTTCTGGGGTTCTGAGAAAGCACTTCAGGGGCAGTAATGAGGGCCAGGCCAAGTTGTCAAGACCAGGATGGGAAGCAGGAAGTCTCACTGCGGCTTTGGGCATATTATAAGCTTTTGCAACAGATTCTTTGGCCCAAAGGAGATCCTGGCAGAGAAAGAAACAAAAAAACTACTGGTAATCTAGATCATTCCAGGGCTGCAATTGTCTTCGCTTACCATCCTCATCAAGTGTGGCCACGCGTGGACGTGGGCCTCGGAAAGGAGGTGGAAGAGCTCTGCCTCTCAGCTGTGTGATCTCAGGTGAGTGTCTGCAGCTTTTGGAGCCTCAGTCTCCTCATCCATAAGACAGGAGCCATATTACCCACCTCAAGGGGCTAAGATGACCGCGCGGCATTTTTCACATGCTCAGCTCAGTGCTTGATCGGGGACAGTAAGTCCACGATCAAAGGTACCTCTCAACGGCCATCACATTCATTATTATTACCCAAACATCTGGGATTTGGAGAATCAGGCCAAAGTCTTGGCAGGGAGGAGAGATGGGCTCCCCTTCTCTGAATGTCTCCAGAGTCATCCAAGCCCTTCTGTGGCTACCAACCCAGGTCACAGCCAGAGCTAATGTTACTACTCAGAAACCCAAGCTGGGCTATGAGAGAGGCTGGGCCATCGGAAAGTGCCCAGGATTTGGGGGTCAGCCAGAGCTGGTCTGTTCAAATCCCAGCTCCCCCACTGTCTCCCTGTCTCCCTCCCACCTCCAGCCTGAGGCTCAGCGGCTGGTGGACCTCAGCTGCTTTACATGCCTGGTTGGGCTGTCTAGCCAGCCCCTGGTTCAAGGGCCGAGGGCCAGGCCCCTGGGACACCAAGGGGCATTATTTCTCCAGCATCTAACAAGCACCTGCTGGGACCGACTGCAGAACCTCACGCAACCCTCACAGCCCATTCTGGGGGCCCAGGAGGGCATCCTCTTCTCATAGAGGAGCACTTGGAGGCTCTGTGCCTGCCGTGGATGTGTAGAGGGACTGTGGAGACCGTGGGACCACAAGCCTCAAGTCCATCCGTGGGACGCTTACCCTCTCCTTTAGGACAGTGAGGAGTGATGGAGTCCCAGTGACCCAGTCAGCCTTAAGGAGGTATCACAAGGCTGGGCTTGAATCCATCTAAGATGTCCTGATGGGGAGGGGATGTCTTCTTGAGGCCCTTCCCACCACGGACACCCGGAGAGAAGGCTACACCTAGGACTCGGAGGCGCACACAGAGGAAACCTCTCACAAATGCAGCGACGGTCGGGGACACACCCACATTCTCTCTCTCTCTCTCTCTC